TAAAACAATTAAGCTCCCTTTTGTTCATGCAATTCTTGTCCACCGTGGATTTTTCCATGCTTTTAATCCAGGTTCAAGGGGTTCTTGTCACGTGCCTGTTCAGCTGTATCTGGCCTTCCCCTTCTCTGAGATCAGATTATCTCAAACGGTTCTTGAAGTCACTAACGGGTGGCAATCACCATTTTATACTTACAGTACTTGCAACTCCCATCCTCCCTTGTCATTGGCAATATTGCATAAAATAGATGGGCTTTGTAGTTGTTTTAAATGGACTCACCGAAACCACTGACTTCATTGCTTGTTTGCTTGCTTGCTTATACTTACTTGATAGCAAGAAAGTGGTCAGGATGCAAGGTTTGGAAAACATAGCTCCCAGTATCCCCAAGCTGGCATGGCTAAGGCATTCTGGGAATTGTAGAGAAAAGAAGAAATGTTTCTCAGTTCTGTAAAGACTTGAGGATGTAGCACTAGTGTAATTCAGCTCCATGGTAATCCTTGGTAGTCACAAGTTACAAGTAATATTATGTGTAACGAGTCACACTCTCTTTTATGGTAATGAAAGTGTAACAAAGTTATTTCAAAAATAATGTCATGAATGGGTGCAAAATTACTTTATCGGTGAGACAACTAACATTTTTAAATTACCTTGATAGATATTTAAAGGTGTTTTAAAAGGCATTTTGAGAGAAATGTCTCAACTTTTATGCCATTCTTTTAGGGATATTTATGTATTTATTTTTTAGAATAAGTAATGAAAGGTAACAAGCAAAATAGCAAGTTAATTTTTAGGCAGTATAGAATATAAAGGCAATATATCACTTTGTAAATACTACCATGAATAATAAGAATGAACTGTTTCTGAAAAGTAACTTTCCAGGTTCTGATCAGTGGGTCATTAGTGTAGACCTGATCTAATATACTAAATGAAGATGCAAAACAGCACCACAATGCTGCAGAGGAATGCAAGAATACATGTTGACTCTACCATAACTAGGACCACAGGTATTTCTAGTTCAGTGCAGGATGCCACAATTCCTGTTATCTGTACCCAAGCTAAAGGTTGGTCATCCATGTTTCAGGTAGCAAAACTAATACAACCCTACATCTGTTTACTCAGACATCAATCTTAGATGAACTGGTACGTATACAAAAATTTATGTATTCACAAATTCCAGTCTATAAATCAAAGATTGAAAAGAGACAGAGCTTATTAGTATACTATAGCCAAAATCCTGTTGTGCAGTTATGCAAAAGATATACAGTGGTGCCCCGCTAGATGATTACCTCGCAAAACGGTTTATTCGCTAGATGATGAGTTTTTGTGATCACTATAGCGCTTCGCAAAACGATGTTTCCTATGAGCATTTTTTGTTGGACGATGTTTCGGTCTGTGCTTCGCCAGACGGGGGGTTTTTTGGACCGTTTTTCGCAACACGACTATTTTGACAGCTAGGTCCGCGATTCGCAAAACAGTTTTTTTAGGGACCAATTTTCGCAAGACAGCAAATTTGACAGCTGATCCGTGCTTCACAAAACGGTTTTCCTATGGGCGATTTTCGCAAAACAATGACTATTTTTCCCCATTGGAATGCGTTAAATGGATTTCAATGCATTCCAATGGGGAACCGCATTTTGCAAGATGATGGTTTCGCAAAACAGCGATTTTCGCGGAACGAATTAATATCGTCTTGTGGGGCACCACTGTACATTTTAGCAGTGAATTGCTGTAAGTTAAGACATCTCCATAGGTACTGTCTGCTGCATACTGAAACGTGCAACTCAATTTGCAGAAAATAATGCCTACACACATTTAGCATTAGCCAGTAACCATACTCATTGCCTATGTTTTTGCATTCAATATTTCGAAAGTTCCTTCCAGTCTGAATGAGAGCAACATGTCTTCTGTATACCATTTCACTCTGAAATTGGTCTTCTGTATTCCATTCACTGAGATCCCTGTCCAATAATCAGGTACACTGTGCATATAAACCTGTGACCTAAATACTGTATTGTATATCATATATCCAAAGAAGTATATTGTGATTCATGAAAGTTCACACTAAAATAAATCTGTTGGCATTAAAAGTATGAGAAACCTTTGATTCCTGTGTTTTATTTTTGTTTTATTATATATATTTGTGGAAAGAGGCTTATTCCAAAGAATATATGTAAATAAGATTGTGCTGTGTACAATGGAAATTCCAACTCAACCCTAAGCCTGAATACTCAAAGGGAAGCATCACAGAATTCAATTATGCATTGCCTTCATTGATTTGCATATTTAGTGAACAAGTAGTTACAACACTATCATACCTACAGTCCTGGTTCTGAAAGCAGTTAGATAAGATAATTATAACAGCAGTAAAAAAGAGACAGAAATTGAGCTGCTAGGAAATGAGACTAAAACTGCAATCCCAGTTTCATGAATGTTATGTTGGGTTCAAGGGGGGCTTACTTCCAGACAAGTGATTTTCAAAAAGTTCAAATGGATTTGAAGAGAATAAAGGATTGGTGCAGTTTTTAAACATTTCTGGAAGCCTTATTTTTATGCAACACTGGATGGAAAATGTTGACCATAACCCGGAGATCTACACTGGCACACCCAACAACGCAGGCATGGTTAGCATGACTTTTGATATATATATATTTTCCTTCTTAGAAAAGCAAGCAGGCAGGCAGGCACAACCTTCTATCTAGCCATGACACAAGCTTGTTTCCCACAAAACTTTGAAAAACAGTTTATTCAGTAGCAGTGGGCATCAAAAGCAACACAAGGCATCTGGATCCAGTCATGGAGCTTTCTGGATTGTGGCCAAGTATCAGGAAGAGCACTGCTGTCCACCACTGTGGAAATCTTTGGGCTATGATGAGATTCTTACAATAGGGAACAGAACATCACAGGAACCTTGAGCCTACATGAATCTGATGCAACCAACTCAGAATCCATATATCTCAGAGAGACGTATGCCAGTTACACCCAGGCAGCATGTTGGAGCACGAAGCAAAGCCTAAGGAAACCTGGGAACTACACATGGCTGTAAGGAGCTGGGCCAGCCCCTGTGCCTGCCAACTACATCAAGCCAAGTCCAATTTAAATTAAAAACAGTGTTCTGCATTGTTTCCAAAAGCTTTCAGATTTAAATTATAAAGAAGAGAAAATGCCAAGGTTTTTCCATTCTGAAGAGTCTCCCTTGTGGCTTCAGGCATATGGGATACTGAGTTGTCCGAGGCATTCTATTTCTCCAGTTCCTCAGTTTTGATATTTAAAGACAAATCAAAAGGAGTTGCCAGCTTTTGCCTTTTCTAGGAAGTGGGGAGTAAGAAGGAGTAAGAGATTTCCTAGAGCTAGTTATGTAACAGGAAGTAGGAGAGAGGCATTGGCAGTGGAAATGGCGTGGGGCTATGAAAAAGTTTTATTATGAGGCGACAAAGAGCACTTGGCACAGATGCTAGGCCTCAGCCTGCTAGCTGAAGTTTCAGGGGAGTGCTCCACTTCTCTGGAGCTTTGGTTAGGAGGACAAATCTCAGTGTGAAGGAAGCTACAGGAGCAGAAATGTTGCTTTCTTCGTATGGGAGGTGTCTTTGAAGCCTGGTCATCTGTTCCCAGATGGCAGAAACGCATGCATGTTGCGCTTCTACAATCTGGGCACACTGAAAAGCTAGAGAAGGCCAAGGAAAGAGCCTGTGGTGCACACCTTTGAGCCTTCCAGCACCATTTGGAGGGGGGTGGGAAGAGGCACACCGTCTGCACATCTTGTGATTTTCTTTCTTGCACGTGTGCACACATAGACACATCAGGTGGTAATTGTCACACAAGGGCCCCTTTTCTAAAATGACGTCACGAGAACCCACCCTCTGAACTTAAGTCTTAGCTCTCCCACCTCAGGCGTTGGGGGAATGGCTATTCTGGCAAGCAGCCAAAGATGAGGGAAAGTTAGTCTGTGGGACTACAACTTCCAAAATGCACCCACACACTTCCCTCATCTCCCCCAATGATTACAGCAGGCAGGGGTTTTAACCACTAGTACCCTCAGTGGGAGGAGTAAGACATATGCCTCCACAACCAGTGCCCACTGTTATGTATGTGTGTGTTTAATAACTAGGCAATTGAGTTGTTGCTCTCCCTCCCCCACTTTCTTACTCACTGTAAGCCTTGGGGAGGAAGTAGCTTATAAATTTATCGTAAAAAAATAATTGAATCGGTTTCAGTGACTTCTGTGCTTGCAATGGCCTGGCACCCAAGTATTTGGCGAGGTGGAGGAAACTCCCTTCTGTTCTGCTTGCAAGGCCTTCTCTCAACCCTCCCAGTTAGGAACAAAGACAGTTTCTAGTAAAAATACAGTAATAACATAGCAAGTCTGTGGCTTTCCCTGCCCTTCATTATCCTCTTTCTTAGGGGCAGTGGTGTTACAGCTGCGAGGGTAGCTAATTCTGCATCACCAAAAAGAGAGCAAAATATTATAAAGATTTGTATAACATTTGTATTTATAATTTATTGGCAAATCTAGAAAATGTTGCAGTAATGTAAATAAAAATATATTCCACCAAAGAGGAGTGATTGCAATGCAGTGATCTGTGGGCCTCTTTCTTTGCTCTCCAGATATTGTGAACAGGCAAGCTTGAAGTCTCCTCCTCTCTCTTAAGATTGTCTTGGACTGTGCTTTGTGTAGACCTATCGTTTGTGAAGCAGGACACACACCCATCCTATATAAATAGCACCCAGCAGAAGGAATCTTCTTGTGCTAGAAATCTTGCTCTTGCACTCAGTGCATTCAATGGTAAATCAGCTTCTACTCAAGGATTCCACTTAGTCTGATGAGTTCCTGGAAAGGAACAGAGAAGGTAAATTAAAGATTGTCCACGATTGATTTGAATCTGGAAAGAATACCTCTCTGTTGTTCTTTATAGCATCACTCCCTAGATGTTAATAGATAATGTAGACGATATTTTGTTATAAATGTCAAGAGGTTTCTCAACCACAAAGAAAAGCAGTACTCGTGTTCCACAGGAAAAGAATTTTATTAAGTTTTTTTAAAACAACTACTTAACATTTACTCTGATAAAAATATTTACAATATCTCCACCTTCAAGAAGGTTCAAAAATATAAACACTCGTACCTCTTCCTAGAGGAAGAACAAAAGATTCTCCTCATTTAAAAGTAACAGGAATACATTCATATTTCCCCACTTTCTTTGTACTTAAGTAGTTTTACAAATAATAGACTTCTGAAACATTTTATTTTACATATCCATGTACTATATATTTATATATACACATTTAAACAGATTTTAGAAATAAAGGCAACAACTGTGTACAAAAAAATGTTTTTAAATCCAGCAATAAAATACAATGGTCAAACACGATTTGCAGTTGAACACAGTGCATTCTAGGACTTGGTGCAATAGCATAATGAGAGCTCATAGGACAAGTCGCTCTATGGATTTCTCAAAACTTCTAGATGATACCACCATTCGACATGGATTATCATTTCTAAAGAGCTAGAATCAGATGGAGTACTTCATCAATGCAGAATGTGTTCAGTCTAAGGTAGATCTGGAGGCTCATCTGATACGTTCTCAAATTTCTTAGTTTGGTGCTGTAGCGCACCAGCGCTGTGTGGGAACTAGCCCAGGAAAAGGTGGTTCACAGTTGAGCAGTGAATCTAGCAATTCATTTAGGTGAAACTCCAGAAATTATGCAAGTCACAATCAGATTTGTGTGGGAGAGTGTAACTTTTAAGAATATAAAGTCAGGCTCTTGGTCCATCTAACCCGATACTGTCAACTCTTGACTGGCAGCAGCTCTTCAAAATTGTACCTACCCGAAGTAGGATACTTTTCTAGTGTTATATGGAAATCCCTGGTGGCCTTCCATCCAAACATTAACCACTCTGACTCTGCTTAGCTTCCGAAATCAAACAAGAGTGCGTATGATTGTTGTCTACCTGCAGGACTGCACTGAAAAAGCACACCTGGTTTTCATGAGGGCCCACAGGAACATTTGTCATTGCCACCTGGCAGAGAAGTATTGCTTGCCAACATCCCATGATCCTTCAAGGGACCGCCTTAGCAGAACATAAGTAAGTTATTTCAGGTGCCAAACCTTTACTTTTCTGTCTCCAAATTTAATTTCTTCAAGCTGTTCAAAACTGTGGTGGGGGTGGGAAAGAAAGAACCAGTCCAAACCGGAAATAAGAGCTACTATTTTGGGAGTATTGTTTCGGCTACCACCCACCCACCCGGCTGCAACCCCCAAATCCAGTCTGCACCATAGCCAGGATCCCCATCTATTCCTTTAGTGGTACAAAATGGCACATAACCCACACTTAATCCTCATGAGGTCCAAGAAAGGAGGCGAAAAGATAAAAGATAGATTGTTTTTGATTCTCCAACATTCATCAGCCCTAGGCAACAATTTGGTCATGCCAGGGGCTCACAATGGCTCTGCAATGAGCTATTTAGTAAGGCTTTCATTCTGACAATTATAGCCAATCGGAAACTATTGGCTGTGACAGCAATTTATACTGATCCTCAGAAGGATGGGGATAGGAGACTCTCTCTTCTAACAGCTAGAAAACAGCTCAAGTTATCCTGTAAGAGCCAGGGGCATCCCCATATTATTCATCTGATACTATTTCATGCTAGTCAGAGTTTGCCCATCTCTTTAAATATTCTGCATTTTTATTGATGGTCCCAAAAGTTCCTCTCTAGTAGTTATTATCAGCAATGACTAGTGCAAGGAACAGGGATATACATGGGCCATTCCCACCGAATGCCCTCCACGCAGTAAATCCTTATCTAGCAGCTCAAGCTACACAAAACTTCTAGGCAGCTTTTAAAACATAATGTTTATTCAGCAGAAACATGATGAGAAACTCATCTCAAAGTCTCCCCAAATCATCTACTGTGTTCTATCACCCAGTGACTGCTACTTGCAGAATTAATACCAGTGCTTCAGTAGCTCTGTGAGTGTGCGTGGCATGTGTGTTTTATATTAAAAATCTTGTATCTCTATAGCATCAAGATGGGGAAGCCCACACTGTTCAGTTCTAGCTCTTGGCTCTCTAGATTATTACTTCGAAAAGTGCTCATCAGAAATATCGCATTTGCTTATACTCCCAGGCCCTCTCTCTGTCTAATGTCTCCATTTTCTTTCACAGCTTAGAAATATAATCCTAGCTGACTAAATCAGGTATCATTCTGTAGATGGCAGGAAATAAAAAGCACATCAATATTTTAAAAAAAAATTAAAAGAAACAACCACTTTCTCTTTTGTTTCACTAAGTTGGGTATACCGTCAAAGGCCTTTCCTAAATTTTCCTGGGTGCTCAGAGCAGAAGACGACCTGGCTTCCCAACACACAAATAAGTTTCTTCATTCTCCCCTATTCAGCCAGTTTAGTGGGGAGAAAACCCTGAAATAATTTCAAACTCAACCAAACAGGGGAAGGGGGGGGAGAACATCTGGAGAGAAAGTCACTCTATGTTTAGTCTTTGGTTTCCAAATTCAAAGGAGACATCTGTTTCAAGGCCTGGAGCAGAGCTGTTGAGTCCATAGGAGAATGGGAAGGTGCAGGAGATGGGAGTCGCTGAGGCATTAGTAAAGGAGCAGACATTTTCTCTGGGCTCATTAACCCTGAAAGGGCTGCAGCAGAAGCCGGGAGGCTGGGATACAAGACAGGCACAGAGGCCGGATACCAACACTTCTCCAGCATAGGCAAGTAGGCTGTTGCAGAGGGTGGAATTAAATAGAAAGGCAGGCACAGAGGTGGCTGGTGGGAGTGAGGGCCCAAGAAGCTGCCTGAGGAAGAGCTAAGCATGTCACCACTAAAATGGTCTTCGTCCTCCGATAGTTCCATCCTGGTCCTTTTGGCCGGTGGGTCCTCGTTCTCTCGTTTGATGGCACTGATTCTTTCCTGTACAGCATACTTGAGTTCAGACTCCTTTTTAAAATACTGGGTGTCAGATTTGGAGTCACTTTTTTCCAGTTCTCCCCCATATCCACTGTCTGTGTCGGTGTCACTCCCACTCTGCTCTCCACAGGAGTGAGCAAAAGTCCTCTGGATCACAGGCACACAATTTTTCCCATGGGCCTCAGCAGCTTTGGTCAGAGAACCAGATTTTTCCTTCAGGTCCATAAGTTTGGGAGCAGCATCCCCGGACTTCCGGCTAGTTCCGTTCTGCAGAACCTCAGAAGCCATTCTGTGTAGGTGGCTGATGAGCTGTGAAGATTTCAGTTCCTTGGCATTCTCATGTTTGGCCACATATTGCAACACTTCTTTGGCACACATCTGGAAACCAGACCGAAACACCTCCTGGCTAGAATCAAGGCTCCTTGGTGGCAGCTCATCTGAGGAAATAAGAGCAGTGAGAAGAAGTTAAAATCTGAGTATGTCGGAAAAGGTTAAAAGGATAAAATAAAACAGAAGTTAGAACTATTTCTAGATACTATCTTGCTGCTGATGAAGTGGGCTGCAGTTTTCAAAAACCTGTACCAATTAAAACTTGCTAATCTCTTTCAGCCCATATAAACATAATTCAACCGTAACAGTTCAACTGCATGCATGCTCACTCAAAAGAAAGCAAGTTTCATTTGCACTCACTGCAGCTAACTTCCAGATAAGTGTGTATAGGGTTTCTACTTAAGCTTTTGGTTTGTTGTTTTAAAAATAACTATTTTGAGATCAGTACTTGAGAAAGCTTTGACTGGGCAACTGTTTGAACCTCTAAAGATGAAATTCAAATCACTAAAATCAGTGGCAAAACTTTCCATTGTACTAGAATCCCACTTCTTGCCTGACAAGAGCTTTTGAAATCACACACACAAGGGGGGGGGGGAGAGAGAGAGAAACCTCACTAGTCTTTATTATTAAAAACTCCAGTGTAGTTGGTAGGTGTGGAATGAAAATAAACCATTTCTGGGGTTCTATTTCAGAATTTAGTTTTCTGTTCTCTTAGTGGCAGATTTAGTATCTTGAAGATCTCAAACCACTTCAGACGTCAGTGTGACTATGCCAACTTCACTACAAATAAGCTGATCTAACAGAAGCCACATCACAGTCCTCACAACAGTTCAAGGGGCAAGCAATTCTAGAGGTTGCTTTGAAAACCACAGTAACTACCTGCCACATAATCACTCTTCAGACCTCCCCCTCTTCAAAGGAATTCCATGTGCCCCTTGCTGTTGGTCCTCACAACACAAGTAAGTGGCAAGTCACATAGCGAGTAATTTCACAGGGATTATCTTAAGGGGTTCTTCTAGATGTTGCTGGATTGCAAGTCCCGTCAGCCCTAGCCCGACTAGCCCATGGCGAGAGAGGATGGGAATTGCAGTCCCACTTCATCTGAAGCACCGCATGTTCTCCATCTGTGCAAATGGCCCGTAGAAATGTCCAAGTCAAAATATAACATTTTAAACAAGAAAAAATGAGGAGAGAAAAATGTAACGAGGACAAAAATCAGCACTTGTTAAAGAAATAGCAAAGATCAGATAGAGAAGACTTAAAGACTGCTGAACGAAAACTCCTACTATCCCTTACTCTCTGGTTAGATGGGAAGGATAGGAACGAGAATCCCCCAACAACTAGAGGGCTGCAACGTCTCTGCTTCTGGCCCAATTTGGGCAGGTGAAGGCGACTGGGTGGGTGGCAGAGAGTATGAGGAGCAGGAAAGCTCTATGTCACTTCAGAGAAAGAGGGAGGGAAGGATCTGGGTAGGTAGGAGCTACACGAGCTGTTCCAGGCGTCTAGGCTAGCGCAATAACATGCTGGGAAGAAGTGCCTCTGACAAGAAGTCCTCCTCTTGATCTGAACATGAAACGAGCTGGTAGCCCAACCAACCTTTCAAAAACATGATCAGGTTTCATATAAAGAGCTAGTTTTTAATGAAAAGGGTGGAGGATCAACATTCAGGGACTAGGTTCGACATCTCCCTTCAAAAATGGTCAGGGACGGAAATCAATGATTTTACTCCACAGCAGTTCCACTGAAATTAACTGGACTACTCCAGATAGTCAGAATAATTGAGAGATGATCATGGTTTAAAGGAAACAACGGTCATCCCTCCCTCCCTCCCTCCCTCCCTCCCTCACTCGCTCGCTCACTCACTCACACACACACACACACGAATCCACCCCCTCCCCATTCTCAATAGGACTTTCTGATTAGGATAATATTAGCCTGATCAGAGTACTCACCAGTATGCAAACCTTTCTGAAGTGCAATGATCTGTTGCTGCTGCTGTTCAATCAGACTCGTTAGTGCTTTCACATGCTTCAAGGTAAGCTCAAGAACCACCGCCTTTTCCAAGTGTCCTAATGTCTGAGGAAAAGGGGGAAATGTTGGACTTAGGCTTGAACACAGGGAACTGAACAAAGACTGATAGTTCCTGGGACAGGGAGAGGTGGGTGAGGAATGGGCAGAGATGCATGCAGGCAGGTGTGGACAGAAATGAGGGAAAACGTAAGGCAATATTCATCTAATCACATGTGTTTTCATTCGGACTGAAAGCTGTTGGAAGCTTTTTAACAACAACAACAAAAATTCACACATACACGGAAAGTGATATCAACAGCTACACTTAGAGTTTTATGGATACCGCCACCCACCCACATAAGAGGGCAGATGGAGCGGGAAATCCATGTTTTCTGGATTAGATTGGTTGCCCCTGCCGGCACCTTGCTTTTGAACAGGAATCAAACTGACAGATTTGTCTGACCGTAACAAAACTAAAATTGCTGATATATGCAAACCTGTTTCCCAAAACAAGAGCTGAATAATTCATGGGTGGGGGGGGAATCCACCCCCTCCCCATTTAAGTATACGTGGCAGGAAGATATGGTGGTGCGAAGTTCCCTAACAGGATGCACGGAGTGGTGGTCTAAACAGACCGGCATTCTTCAACCAATCAAAACTCAGCCTCAGAATCCAAAGCAACCATCTGACAATATGGACAAGAGGGCACCGCCAAATCCACAGGAAAATGTTCTAATTGCTGCCGAACAGTCCTCATCCTGCCAGCTTTCATGCACCCTCTTCTCCGATTTCATCCAGTCAAGTTCTTAAATTTATTGCCCTGGGAATAAAACTAAGGGCTAACAGGAAGCCCTTCATGGTAATCCTAGCCGACACAAACCTCCTCACTTTAATCTGCAATTCTCTAGAAAATCTCTAGATGGCACCTTTACCTGCACACAAAAAATCCAGTAAACTCTACCAGTTCCCCAAAAGGAAGAAGGGTTTGGACAATGGCCAGATTGTCACTTACTGTAAGTTTGAGATGTTCTGGTAAGAGATCTTTCAGCTGGGCAATGCATTCATTAATCCTGTCACGTCTTTTTTTCTCTATCAGTCTGTGGGGCAACTTATAGGTCTCCTGGAAGTGAAAAGGGAAAATAACAAGAATTGTATCTATCACTCTGTCTGGATAAAAAGTAATATCGCAGCATCAAAAGAGATACTGTTTCCTGTCCATTCTTTCCAACTCGAATGGAAGAGAATGCAAACCTTTTGTCAGAATAAAAGGAAAATCTTTTTAACGCCAGAGTTTAGTTTTTTTAATCACAAGGTTGTACACTTTTATTACACTCCTGCACAGAAAAGGACTTTAGGCTACAACTGCACAAGAATTGCTTCATTGATGTTACACACACACCCCCAAAAAAACCCACACACAAAAAACCCCAACCCAAATCTATTAACGGAACAGTTATTTTAAAAAACTTCCACTATCCTTCCTCCTGCAAGTATAATTCCAAAAGTAAAATATTAGACAGAAAATACTTTTTAAAAATAATTCAAACTACTTAACAGTAATTTTGCAGGACATCTTAGAATCCCAAGGGTGCGTTAAACTTTCTCTAAATGGGCCAGAATCATTCACCAAAGATGCAAAAAGAGCATGCAAAAGCTTTGTAATTTTACCTTACTATCGTCGCCTCTTTTTAACCCTCTTCTAGGTTTATAAACTTGATACATGTGAGCGAAGTCCAACCTGTTGATGAGGGGGAAAGTGCATATTTTATTCTTCATTATCTCCCAATAAGACTTCCCCTCCCCAAGCTTCTGAAATAATTACTGTCAACAAAAGGGAAAAGAAAAGAAAAACCACTACCCGAACCCAGCCGGATTAGAGTGGGTTGGAAAGCAAGATTTCCCTCCCTTTTCCAAGGTGATGTTTTAACTGCTCGCGGCAGGTAGTACTTGGCAGGTTGGCTTACCCTGGCATCTCGTTGTTCTCTAGCGGAGCCAGCGTGCCCAGGCAAGGTGGTGGCGGCGGCGGCGGCGGCTGAGCGCTCGGGATATGTTCCATCGAACCGGGTCTGCTTCGTGTTTCTTTTTTTGCCAACCCGAGATCTCTCCAGAGGTGAAAGGCTGGCAATCGGAAGCCAAGGAAAGAGCCGGGATCTCCTCCGCGGCCACCCAGCTCCTGGACCCCCTGGCAAAGCAAAAGCCCAGCCAAGGCGCTGACTGGGACGGTGTGGCGCTCCTCTGGAGGCAAGCGGCGGCGATGAGGATTCCTGCCCCTCCACTTTGCAGCCACTCGACGGCTGTGTGAACGGGGAGAGCTGAGAGGAGTCAAGCTGCAGGCGGCAGGCTGGGTTAAATCTGAGCGAGTGGGTGGACTGGAGCGACGTGTTCTACCCTGTGACTCCAGGCACGTCTGGCTGCTACCGGAGGGAGGGAACGACCTGCCTTCCCCCCCCCTCCCGTCCACCTCCCATCACATGAGCCTCACGTGTTGGACAACGCTCCAGCCTTCCCTCGTTCCCTCCCTCTCTCCCCGCTTCTGGCCACACAGGCGGGCGAAGGAAAGCGACGGAGCGGCGGCTGGAGGGAGCCGCCGCCGCCGCCGCGGCCGCCGCTGTCTAAACGTGACGGGAGTGACCCGGCCTGCCTCGCCTCCCTTCTCCCACCCACCCCTCCCGCGCCCTGGACGCTTCTCCAGCTTCCGACTTGGAGGACTCCATGCAGGGTTGTGGGGTTTTTTTGTGGGGGGGGCATGGTAGGGACGAGACGGGGTGGGGATGGGGGAAGAGTCTGGAACCGGGGTGCTTTGCCACTGAAAGGTGCAAGGTTTCAAATCGGACCGAGAAGGGGAAGGAAGGGGGAGTCCCCAGTCCTGTGCGTGGGTAAGGGACTGGTTGAGGTTGCTTACTAATGAGGAGAAGGCACTTTAGACATGCTCAAAGTCCTTTCCCCCTTCTATATTAGGCCTTCTATCCCCCTCACCCCAGGGTGAGCCTTGGCATTAAAAACCTATTTTAGAGCGGCACCCTGGTGAGGCCCGGCTCAGATTAAGACCTGGCCTGCTCACTCTCTGTACTCTCTGGCCATATAGGGCTGCAAGGTGAAACTTCCCAAAATAAGAAACATTTAAGGGGGGGGGCATGCCATGGCTTTGGATTTAGAAAGAAGCAGTGTTTTAGTCTAGAAGAAGAGCCAGGCTTGCCCCAGGACTGCACCCTTTCACACACACACACACACACTCAACTGATGTATTTGAAGGGCAGGCTGGGTTCTGTCCTACTCTGGATTGCCTCAGACATCCCAAGGCTGAGTCTTTGGCAACTAAGAAGATTTTCCAGGGTTGTGCCATGAGTCAAAACTCGAGAATAAGGTACTCTCCATTATTTTCTATGAGGGTGTGGAACTTCCAGGAACGCAAAATGACTAATTCAATCAGGTACAGGTAGTTAAATCTACATATAAACTGGATACATAACAATTTTGACAGTGCTGATTTTTTTGTGTGTGCAAAACATGCTAGAGAAGGATGAGTTAAATCATCTTGCTTGAGCTCCATGATTCCACTCTAACTTGAGACAATACAGCCACAACTGTTTCCCTTAACATTTTCTAGAGAGGAAAGAGATCTGGTGATAGATATAACTTTGGCCTTTTATTACTGTTAAGTACCATTGAGTTGCTTCCAACTTAGAGTGACCCTCATAGGGGATTTGTAATGTTCAAGGAGCAGTTTACCATTGATACATGCACGCACACATGGACACTCACTCTCTCACTCTCCTGCAAATTACTATTCCCAAGCAGGGGTTTGAACCCTGAGTCCGTTATCATAGAATCGTCGTAGGGTTGGAAGGGACCTTGGAGGTCTTCTAGTCCAACCCCCTGCCCAAGGCAGGAAACCTCATACCATCCTGGACAGTCCAATCTTTTCTTGAAAACCTCCAGCCACAACATCGAAAGGCAAGCTGTTCCACTGCTTAATGGTTCTCATGGTCATGAAATCCCTCCTTATTTATATCACATGGGCTCTCAGAACTTGTCTTCAGTTGGCCAAATTGAGCCCTGACCTCTTCACTATATGTAAAAGTATCAATACGGGGTTTTTTTTTAGTTGTGAAGGAAAAGTTATCCTCCATCTCATTTACAAAATAGCAGAGAGGCCATCTTTTTGACATCTTATTTTTCCCCACACTAGAGTTTGGGGGGAAAATTACATTTTAGAAGATTCTCTCTCCCTGCTCCTCCAGGTGGGGAGTCAGTGTAGCTCTTGGCTATCCTGGCTGGGGGATTCTGGGATTGCTGGACTATTCAAGAAACTTTTCCAGGTCCTGGCATAATCTAAATAAATATTTGGCCTAAACTTTAAATAATTATTTCTTCATCAGCTGTTTTCATGTGCCATCCAGTAACAGTACTTTGTGTCTGGGTGGCTCACAGATTCCAGCCTGTCTCCAGTCCTCTGATATACACATGTTACCATGATGAGTGATATTGATCATAATAAGCTCTGACAGTAGTTTCAGAAGTGAGGAATTAGTCTGGATGGGATCTCTGGGAAGGGGGGGTGTCTCCTGTCTGTTTTAAAAGAGATAGCATTTTATTAAACCTGTGATGTAACAATCTCACCAGGAAGTTGTTTATATTAATTAACTACCATACATGAAATAGCTGATGATTGTTAGAAGAATTCAGGTTCAGGAGGGCCAGAGTGAGGACAGATAAAGCAGGCTGTTCCTGGCCTGATCAGACTATTAACTGGGTTTAAAAAAAATATCCCCAATGGAATGGCTCTGGGCAGAGAGAAAAGCAGCCCTCAAATGGAGCGCTTTGGTGGGAAAGGAGGGGCTGCTCTTTTTTTTGGAAGGCTTTCTCTGGGAAACTCCGGCAAGAAGTAGTGAGCCAAGGAAATGGCTGGGGATCAGAGAAGGACGACGACTCTGGACCCACTGCAGCTGAAATCTTTTTGCCACCTACTGACAGGGCTGGGTGCCAGCTGTGATGTTGGAGGCTTTCCTGCAAAGACAGAAACAGGGCAGGCTACATCTGTTCCCAATGTGTTTGGTGGTGCTTGAACAAAATGTTTGCGTTTCCCTCTAATCTAGTCGCTGGGGAGCTATTAGACCATCCGGTCCAGAACTTAGTCGAACAACACAGTTCCTTCATGGCATAGAAAAGAGTTGTGTAAAGAATGAATTACTTTTCCTGTTCCAACTCCCAATGTCCCTCAGTTGGTATAGTTTGAAAGCATTATTTTTCTAAGCTCAGCTTTTACACCCAAAGGGTCCCATATGTTTTTTAACACTGGTGTTACATAGCAGGGAGCAGGACAGACTTCTGCCTGACATTTAGAGAGCCCAAGCTATCCAGAGCAGATGAGAGGTGGGCCACTGTAGCCATCCAGATGTTGATAAGACTGTAGCTCTTTTGGTTTGTTACCACAGGTTATGCTGTCTAGGAATTATGGGAACTGCACCAAAGTACAGTGTGCCCTCAAGTGGAGTCTGGCAGGCCAAAATCCTCTGGAGGGTTACAGGTGCTGGTTACTCCTGGAACAAAGTGCACATCAGTGCACACCGTTGAGTACTGCGAGGGCAGAGAGTGCCCTTAGCTAAATCTCATGGATGTTTCAGCCCAGTGAGATCTGGAGGGCCCCGCATCCTATATGGCCACAGTGTTAGGTTCGTGGATATGTTGTGCAGCCTTATATAGGGCATGTTCTTATGTGAAACTTTGTCTTTATATGGCAGAGTGTGCCACCTCTGTCTCTCCATCTGTCCCCTTGTAGGATCTGCCATTAGGCTGCCCAAATAGCCACATGATACTTCATGGCCTTGCTGAGTGCCCACATCTGTAGTTGGATAGCCCACTTCTCAGCCTACTCAAAGGTTACAGCATCCTGTGCATGATCTTTATTTCCATTGAGAAATGATGTCTATGAAGGAAGACTCTGGTGACAAAACCTCACGCTAGCGTTGCTTTCCAGCAGTGTAATAGGCTGCCAAAGTCCCTGGTTGAATGAGTTCATGTGGTATCTGGGTCAGAGTAAGAAATCTCCTGGAACCACATAGGTTTTTCATATTTACAGATGTGACCCTACAAGGAAATCCCCATGGAGGATGAGGGGCAAAGAGAAGGGTTTTTCTCCCTTTGCCCACTTCCCATGCTCCTGTGTCCATGCACATTTATCCTTTCCCTCTAAGTTCCTTGCATGCACACAGTGAAGCCTTCCTCCTCCCCAATGACATGGCCAGCAGCACAATGTCAAAAACATTTTGAACCCCTGGTTTTAAACAGTGGCACACCCTTCCATCCCTGATAAATTAATGTGTTTCCAGGCAAGAATAGCCTGATTGCTATTCTTTTATTTATTTACAATATTTGAATCACGATACATTATGACACATCTGTTGGTGTTTTCCAATGAAATGTCATTGGATCACCTGACCACAGGGCAGAATTAGATAAGGGCATCCTTCCTCCCTTTCCTCTTTCTTTTCTAGCTTTCTCATCTAAACAAAAGCTGTGGGGTTGCCCATGGTGTCATCCTACAAAGCTTTTGTGCATGTTCTGTGTCCTTTTACAGGTAGAGCTAATTGAGCCCTTGATTGCTTGTTGTGACTAGTTTGTGAGGCAGTTTGAGCATAAATATGCCGAAGAGTGGACTCTAGAGAAACCAGAAATAGTCATGTAGCACCTATAAGACCAACTAGTTCTCATTTTTCATAAGCGAGGTGATTGATGCAAACCATATGCCTGGACAAGAATTTATTTTGTTCTCTGGAATGAATTTCAGGTGTTCAGGCCTGAAAATGTCCATCTCTCCAGACACTCTTTTGCTCTTTGTCCATCTTGGCTGATTATTACCAGAAGGTCTAGCCTGAGAATTTGGAGCCAGTATTCTCCGTATTCTCCTGAAGGACAGCTGACTAGCAATTTCATAGAAACAGTAGTTTATACCTCTTTATGGAATCCAGCTGGGGCTGGATCCAGAGGTTCCTAGCAATTTGAGCAATTTGAGGCAGTCTCCTATTTTTGGGTGATGTGAGTAAGTCTACAACTACTGGCCAATTGCTGGCATCTCTGGATAATGGAACTATTTTGATTTCAGAGTACAGTAGAAGGGTTTGGTCACCTTTTGGGATGGTCTTTTCCAAGAGAAAGTCAGGTAGGTGCATCTTTGATGGTTTTCCTAGCTTTCTTAGCAGCTCTTGATGCCACTCATCATGCTGTCTTTATGGAGAGACTGAATTGCAGGTTGAAGGCACTATTTTGCAGTGGTCTGATTCCTGTTTAGATAGCAGATTCCAGATGGCTTTTTCTCTCCTCGGGGGCTGTAACTCCTTTGGAATCCTTTGTGTCTTCCATGTTTTTTTTTAACTGATGTGAGAAAGTTGTCTGGAGGGCTGGAGTGAGCTGTCATTGGTATTTG